GAAGTCTTACTCCTTTGACTTTTATTTTTTTTACATTGCGGACAATATATGGTTTTAAGTTTGGGAGGGGCAATCATTTGGGTTCCTGGCTATCGTTTCTTTTTGTTTGAATATGTGACTATTATTTCATTTCATGTGAATGTGTAAAAAAAAAAAATCTATATATCTGTATATGTTCCGTGCTTGTGTGAGTAGGATGGTGTTGTCAGCCATGAAAAATATATTTGAGAGCATGTGTTAGTTTGTGGACTGTGAAAGATTTATATGTTTGAGTTGAGTTTTTACTTATTTATGTGAAGCAATATAATATTTATGCACGAGTATTAAGTTTAGCACTGTACAGGAACATGATAGTTTATATACATATGTTAAATTGATAACTTAGGTATTTGACCTTGTGCCCCATGATTCACAACACATTTTCATCACTTGTTTAATGATTTGGGGCGTTCGTCCCGATGAAAGAAGTAATTTAAGCTTGTGATGATTTCGTGCATGTTATAAGTTTGTGTGGAGTGTATTTAGCTTTCTGGTATAAGCTTGGTGATCACCACATGCTAGAGATCTATCCCTTATAAATTTCGCTTCATTTTATAGAAAGGAAACATTGCACTCATAAGCTACACCTCATACCTGCACCTTTTTTACTTGAGTTATTAAATCCGTTAGGGTCTCTCAAAATCTGATGCCCTAAAGTAGTTTGACTTGGGAGTTACAGACATAATACTTGCTACAGGGGTCAATAAGAGAAAAAAGGGTGAGGTAAAAAAAATTGTGTTAGAAAAATGTTTGTATACAAGTTAGTACATGATGTGGTGCAAAAGGAATTGAACTTCATGGCAAAGTGGGACCGACGCAAGAAAAAATAATTTGGAGGAAATTTAGAGTTGTCCGTTTTTTACGAATTTGTAGTTTAATTCGGTTGCTATTAAATTGGCTGAAAAGTTAAACTCAAAGGCTTTGTTTTTGACGTAGGGCAAATTCCTTCGTTTAGACCCTCGTTTAGGCCTTTTTTCCTTTTTTGGTAATTCTTATTTTGAGTACATCTCAATCAAATAAATTCAGATTTACATTTCGTTTGTTGGAGAGTAATTCCGAAGATTAGAACTATTAATTTCCGTCATTATCTTGATTTTTTCCATTTTTGGAAAAAAATCTTATTATTATTATTTATTTATTGAATTTTCTAGGTTTTTGCTATAAATATGTTGTAAGCCTCTTGAGGCCGCAGATTGATTTGAATGAAAAAATTTTGTGAGTTTTCTTCTTTGTGAGATTTGTTCATTTTCCCTATAACTTCCGCTACGTTAGTACACAAAAGAACTGAATTTAGGGACAAAGATATCTAGCGGGTTTGAATTACTTGGTATAAACTAGACTGTTGAAACATTCAAAATTGAGTAGCATCATTACATGAATAAATTATTGACATCATTAGTAGAGCTAAACCAAATTAGAGCGGTGTGAGACATGGGCAAGTAAGATTAAAGCCTTGTTTGATCCCCATTAAATTACATTCCATTATATTCTATTTTTTTCTCTCCTATTTTCAACCACACAATCTTCCATAAACTAATATTACACGTAAATCGAAAATTTTTCCTTATTTTTCAACCACTCATTTTTTCAACAAAACACTATTCTCCCATTTTCATTATAAAAAATAGGGGTCAAACGGGAGCTAAAACTTTAGAACCACACCACGGTGAGAGAGTAGAAGAAAACAAATTTGGAGGTGTGTGAATCTCACGAGTGAAAAAAGAAAAGAATTGACCACAAAAAATTGGGAAGTGAACTAACTTGTGAAGATACGACGTTACACTTGATCTCACACACACACACAAAACTATTTTGCATGGCATAGGTGAATAGCTGGCTCTTGTATTGCGATCTAGAAATAGTTCACAAATGTGACATAATGTTCTCAACACTGAGCCAAAAGGCTAGCCATCCGATTGAATCGTTGTTTGTATCTTTAGTTAGTTTCTTTTTTTTTAATTGTGTTTGCTCGAGGACTAGCAAATGGTTAAGTTTGGGGGTATTTGATGAGTGTGTTTTACTCACAAGTTTATACAAATTTTAACTTGATTTTAAGCTAGAATTCACGAGTATAAAGCGTTTTTAATGTATGTATTAATGTTATTTTAAAGGTTTATAAAGATGACGAAGGATACGAAGAAAGATCATTAAATTGAAATTAGTGGCATGGTTGAAAAAGAAGTTGTGATATAGGGGCAAAATAGACAAAGCAAAATGGGACGAATGGCACCAAAACTGAAGAAATCAAGAAGAACCAGAGTGTGGGCGCGGCGCTAGATTCAGGGCGTCGCGGCGTCGAGAGATACCAGAGGTGGTGCTACAGCGCCACAACCTGGGTGCTGCGACGCCACCCCATAAATTGACGCGGCGTTGCACAAGTTCGCTAGGGCGCAATTTCGGCCCGTTTTGGAGCCCATGCAAGAAGCCTATTATTTCCACACGGTAAAGGACCTATAAATACGTTTTTCTGAGACTTTTAAAGGGTACCACACATTCTAGAGGCAAAAACACATCTTGGAAAGAAGGCAGAGAGATTCAAGGGGAGAAAACAACGACAAATTCATCATGTGAAGCATCAATTGGAAGATGAATGAATTTTTGGTGCAAAATCTACTTTTTCTTCTACATATTTAATTCTAAATCCGGTGATATACTCTAAGATAATTTGTCTTTGCTCTTCTTTTATTACGTGTGACTAAATATATTGTTAGGGCAAATAATGTAACTCATTTGTAATCCTTTATATTTTCTTATTAAGATTTTTTATTTTAAATTTTTCCAGTGTGTTATTTTTGCTATGAATTGATTGTATTAAATTATCTAATTAATAATTTGATGAATTTTGTGAATCCTTTACGAATAGAGATATGTGTTTAGGATTTAGACTATTGGTATAACGAGTATAGATACATATGACATTTATTGTGGTCATAATTTAATTTATAGGATAAAGAACTCGTTTAACTAAATTAAATTTGCATAGAGATATGAAATGAGAACTCGAAAAGGGTAAATTGAATACAATAGGAGAATTCGATCGAACACTACATTAGAATTGAGTCTTAATTTGAGATGTAAAAGTAATCAATAGGTGAAATTATTCTTCCCTAACGTCCTCAAATTATTTGATCTTACAAACAATCGTGTGAGCATTTATTTATTGTCTAGAATTAAGATTTAAACTCAAATCACTATAACTTTTAATTTGTTTTCATTAAATAGTAGTTAAAGGAAAATTGAATTAAGTGTTAGAAAATAATCTTTGTGGGTTCGATAATCCGGACTCTTAAGTCCATTATTACTTGTTACGATTTGTACTCTTGTGAAACTAAAATATACAACATCTATTAACCACACCACTCCTACAAAAATTAGATTAACAAAAGTCATTTCAATAAATGATCATAATATTTATATTTGTACTTTAATGAATTCCTAATTTATTTTATGGACGAGACTACACAAATACTATTCTAAAATTTATTATTTATGCTATGGACGAGGCTATTCAGCCCTTGTTTGATCCCCTTATATTCATTGCATTCTATTTTTCTCTCTCCTATATTTAACCACACAATCTTTCATAAAATAATATTACACGTAAATCGAAAAATTTTCCTTTTTTTCAACCACTCATTTTTTCAACAAAACACTATTCCCCCCATTTTCATTACCAAAAATGGGGGCCAAACGGGGGCTCATTTACATAGACGTTTTTAGAAAAATATTATCTTTTAAATTTATTGAAATTATTAATTTATTCTAGTGGCCCAATTCATGATCTTTTTTTATTTATTTTTAATAAAAAATAGAGGTTATCTTGTAGTTATATATAAGTAGAGCATGTTTGAGACCTATTTCTGGTGTAAAATGTATTTTAAAATAGTAGATTAATAGAGAATATGTGGTTGAAAAATAAAGAAATTTTCTAACCATGATCCACTTAAACCAACCATCGCCAACCAATGGATTGGGCCCCACACAAACGNAAAAAAAAAAATTGTTTGTATCTTTCCCAGGTCGTCACGTCATCCCCTGATTTATACTTTTCAACTATGACCAATGTCAAAAAAAAATTGGAGCGAGTAATATTTTTATATGTACAATGTGATAATTTAATGTAAAAATTAACAATTTTGTCATTAATTATTGCTTGTACAATTATAATGGAAAATTAATATTTCAATAACATACATAATCTATATATTTCTCAGTCATCAACCGACTCCCTTGTGGGAAAATTTTATTAATGTACATTTTACTTTCAACTTAGACCAATGTCTACAAATTTGGAAAAAAAAAGAGCTATATTTTTATAAGAGCCGCATTATACTTTATCGTACATACAAACAATTTACAGTTAGTAATTTATTTAGCTAAAAATAATTTAGATATTTTTTAAATTATCATGTGATTCCCTTATGTCAAAATATTCTAAATTTATATATTTATAAGAGTTGCTTGATGATTTAACAAAAATGTGAATGAATTTCGTTGTTCATTATTACTAAGTAGGTATTTGACACTCATTTTTATGAAAAAATGAATTTTAGAATAGTAAATTGATGGAAAATATAAGTATGAAAAATAAGGAAATTTTTTTATTTACGTATAATATTATTTTAATAAAGAATGTGTGATTAAAAAGAAGAAAAAGAAGAAAAAATGTATTTTGATAAAAATGAGAATCAAACAGACTTAAGTTTTGTTGAATTCAATTAAAGATGTTGATTGAAAATATTAGTCAAAATCAATAATTAATTTTACAGAACATTTTATGAGATCAAGACCTTTTAACTACATATTCTATAAACTTTTATAAAAATTTACTAAAAGTTTAATTTTTATCTAAACCAAATGGGGGTTAATTGTGGAAGTTTAACATAGTGATACACACGAAGACAATAGGTTGAGGACATAATTGCAATTCTCCACAATTCAAAAGCTTTCCCAATTTTCACTACCCTATAGGCACAAAATTTCAACGCCAACTCTCCTCGTTCTCTTCGCTCTTATTCTCATGGCTTCTTCAATCTCAGGACTCTCTTCCTTGAGGTTGAATGCCGAAAATCTCACCCGCAAAACCCACCAAACAACCCTTTCACCCTCCCCATTTCGAAAGTCTACCAGATTCTGCCCGCAGCAAGTGGCGCGTGAGGTTCCCCCGACGACCCTCTCCAGCCTCAATCCCGGCAACGATGTTTTACCCAAGTCAATTCAGAAGCCCGGGCTCGAAAGGGATCCTCGGGAGCTATGGAAGAGGTACATCGACTGGCTGTATCAGCACAAGGAGCTGGGTCTCTATTTAGACGTTAGCCGGGTTGGGTTCACTGACGAATTCTTCCAGCAAATGGAGCCTAGACTCCAGAAGGCGTTCAAGGACATGGATGAGCTGGAAAAGGGTGCGATTGCGAACCCGGACGAGGGCAGAATGGTGGGTCACTATTGGTTAAGGAACCCCACACTCGCTCCAAAAGCTTTCTTGAAGCTGCAGATTGAGAATACGTTAGAGCAAATCTGCCAGTTCGCTGACCAGGTCATCAGCGGCAAGGTCAGCCACCCTTCTGAATCTGTTGCCTTTTCTTTTCTGTTGATTCTTTCTTTCTCTTTTGTGCAACGGAAACCTAGGAAATGCTACAGAAATATGTGTGTTCGTAATAAATTTAAAATATAACTTTGGAGGAGGAAAAAAAGGGTCTCTACCTGGTATATATGTCTCAGTATAGATTGAAGTAATTGCTTGTATTTTTAATTTCAAATATTAACTCCTTAAAAGCAGTGTCAAAGTGAGAAACTGTGAAATTTAGTCATAAAATTTACAAAATTGAAAAGAACAGGTGATCACCATTTTGTGAAGACGTATCCAAAAATCTGGATCTTGAATTGTGGAAAGGAAACTCGCAAATTACTGAATTGGACTAGATAATGTGACTGATCACCCATCCACCTTATGGAGTAGGAAACTTTTTAAACTGAAATGTTTTTGTTTCATGTTATATAGAAACCTAAACGTTTTTCCCCTTGCATTACAAAGCCCCCGTGGAATAGTATTTTTTTGAAAAATGAGTGGTTTAAAAAGAAGGAAATTTTTTGATTTACATGTAATATTATTTTATTAAAGATTGTGTGGTTGAAAATAGGAGAGAGAAAAATGGAATGTAATGTAGTGGAATTTAATGGGGGGCCTAACAGGGGAGTGTTAAGTTGCAGACTTTTTTATTCTAACTAGCCTGGTGTCATTGAGAATTTGCTGAAAATCATGATTGATCCTGGCATCAGGTGACTTTTTTTGTTCCTGAGTAGCCTGGCATTGTTGAAAATTTGCTGAAAATCACGATTCATCCTAGCATCAAGTCAAGGTCAGTTTTGATCCCGACTAGCCCAGGTCATTGAATGATTCAGGTGAAGGATAGCATAGACTTCTGGATCATTGTGATATTGAATAGCAAGGGAAGTTTATAATCTGGTGGAAGATTGAGATTTTCCCTGGGTTGCTGAAAATTTTGGTGAAAATTGTGATTGACCAAACCCTACTGTTCTAGCAAAGAAATCAGCTTTTGTCTTGCTTGGCTTAGCCCGTTATTTGAAGCAGACCAGTCAATTTATCCTATTCACAGCCTAGCCCATAATTGGAGCAGGAGAGACTGATTTTGGCCCAGTTACAACCGCTGAAGAAGTAATCCTCATAATTAACAAGGTTGCTGGGCCCAACAACAGAATTGCTTCTTTTAAGTATGTGAGAAAGAAAGATACCACTACCCAAAATTGGATGATAAAACAACACTTAATCAGCAAATGATAAAAGAGACTGAAAGACTGAGATAAAGTAATAATAGAGATTTAGTTCTCTCAGAAAACCGTAGTTTTCAGGGCTAGAAAATATAAGCTCTTCAGCTATTCTTTGTTGTGGAACTATGTGGCTTATTTATATAGGCTCTTCACACGTTGAGACTCCAAAACCTATACTTGCTTGAATTAATAGAAAACATCCAAATCCTAATGTAATTAAGAAAATTTTAATTTACAGGAAAAAGTCCAAGAAATCTTAATACTACTTCCATCGCATAAAGATTTGTTTGTTTCTATTTTCACATGGATTAAGAAAATGTAATTAATATAGTTAGAAATATAAATTTTATTACATTTTCTAATATATCCCTACATTAAATAATTGTTTTAATAGGAGTAGAAAAAGGAAAGCACATATATCTTTATGGGACATAGGGAGTAACTAGGGGAAAAAATCCTAATTCTAGTTGTACCCCTAAATACATCCTAAGAGTTAAAATAAAACTTGACCAAAGAATACTAGTGCAACAAGGTTTTGGAAAAATTGAACTCTTGCTATTGCATCAACTATATATCGCTAACATGTGTATAGATTTATGCTTGTAAATTTCAAGCATAATCGCTAGATGCGCGACCAATTTTCCTGTATTAATTTTGCAACGTATGATGTATAAGTGGTCACTTAGATACGGGCAAGTCCATCATGTGTGTGTCAGAGATGTTGGAAAATTGGTCTTGGCCTATTAGGTCCTCAATGTGGGCTGACTCAATCTATATGCTTTAATATGAGTTGGAAGGATTTGTTTTGTAGGAAATGCAAATGAACTCCCTAGAAGCATCAATAACCACCACCATCCATAAATTGGAAGAAATTAACACAGAAAGTTGGTATTTTTACATAATAGTACCTAAAATTGGAAAGTGTTGGTGACTATTTTTGTATAGAAAGCTCACGAAAGTTGGCTCATGGATTGTTCAAATCAAAGCCTATCCAGTGATTGATTATCTGACCAAATGTGTGTATTTGCTTAATTAGACTGGGAAAGCAATTGTAACCAAAAGATCTTGAAAATTATACTTTCAAAGTGAGAAAGTTATTAAACTGATTGTTCAGATATATGTAGGAGACAGAGAGAAAAAGAAATGTTGTCAAATACAAATCAATTGAGTTTTGTTAAAATTGGCTTTATAGAACATTTAATTGAAGAACACAATTTTTTCATGATTATAATGGAGTTTATTGATTTTGACTTCTTGTTCTCATCAGTGACTGTTAAATAGTTGAATGATTTTTGTCTCATTTTTACTTTCTTGCCCTGCATTTAATTATTAATTGGTTGTGGAAGAAAATGTAGAAATATTTTCCATCAATTCCTTCTTTCTACTGTATATTTAGTGCTAACTGAATTTGAAATTGCTCTTGGGAATGGTGTTTGCGTTATTTTTAAGCTTCCAAGATGCAACACGTGAAACTGGACCATTGGTTTTGATTTAAGATTTAAGAAAAGTTTTTGTTGCTTCATAAATTTATTTTCTTCACCCTGAAAGTCTTCCATTTCTTTTCCTCGTCTTTACAACCTGTTCTACCTAAAATTGTAATGTTTATGCTACAGATTAAACCTCCTCATCCGGCAGATCGGTTTACACAGATACTTTCTATTGGAATTGGTGGTTCAGCTCTTGGACCTCAGTTTGTTGCAGAGGCGTTGGCTCCTGATAATCCTCCTCTCAAGGTAGATAAAAATTTAAACTGGAAACGATGATATTGACCATCTAGTTCTCATGCTTTGAGTATTAGTTTTCTTTTTCTTTGACAGAGCTTGTTCTCCTATATCGTGTAGTTTAGCTTTGGTATTTGTTGCTCAAATTTCTATGTATCTTATGCTACTGTTGAGATCTGATCTCAAGCAATTGTCTCTCTTTTAACATTTAGTGAATAAATCAAGTAAATTTAATTGAGTAACTCACATATCTTATTTTTTAATATTTTTTACATATTCAAAGAAAAGTACACCAGACACATTTTCCCGCGTTTCTCGCTACAAAGTCTTGTAATTTTGATTTATGTTGTAGTAGATGGTTACAAGGTTTTTGTTTATTTATTTTTTGAAGTTTATAAAAAAAGACTGTTATAAAAATGGATGCAGGCTTCATATGTTGCGATACATCTGAATGTAAGTGGCCCAAATGCTTCTATCTAGCACACTTTGATTTCGGAAGAGCAGAATATGGTGGTTTTTTTTTTTTTTTTTATTTAAATTGTTTCAAAGATGATTTATTGTTAGCTCGCAGGATCTTCATATCATTTCACAGTGGGGAATTCGAATAGCTGGTATTATGCATACTGATTGATTCTTTAAGATCCTTAATCAGTTTGTGTCATCACATTTGCAGATAAGATTCATTGATAATACAGATCCAGCCGGCATTGATCATCAAATTGCACAGGTTTAATTAAATTGTTTCAAAGATGATTTATTGTTAGCTCGCAGGATCTTCATATCATTTCACAGTGGGGAATTCGAATAGCTGGTATTATGCATACTGATTGATTCTTTAAGATCCTTAATCAGTTTGTGTCATCACATTTGCAGATAAGATTCATTGATAATACAGATCCAGCCGGCATTGATCATCAAATTGCACAGGTTGGCCCTGAGCTAGCTTCTACACTTGTCATAGTCATATCGAAGGTATTCATCCATATCTTTTCTATTTGGTATTTTTTTCGTCGGATTTATGATTCATAACTGCATTCACTTTCCCCATTAGAGTGGAGGTACTCCGGAGACTAGAAATGGTTTGCTGGAAGTTCAAAAGGCTTTTCGAGAAGCTGGCCTGGATTTTGCAAAACAGGTTTTGGTTTTCAGGTTCTTCTTTCTGCTTTATTTAATTTCCTTTGAATTTGAAATTGCTAGTTGTAACTGGCATATTATGCTAGAAGGATTATAACATGGTCCTTCTGTTGGCTTACACATCATTCATGATTTCTTTTGATAATGATTACTTCTATATACGGAGATAACTAATTTTTGGTAGATTGAAAATGTCATATTCTGCTGACTGGTTTTCATACATAGGGTGTTGCAATTACGCAAGAGAATTCGTTACTTGACAACACAGCACGAATTGAGGGCTGGTTAGCTAGATTTCCCATGTTTGACTGGGTGGGTGGTAGAACGTCTGAGATGTCTTCTGTTGGTTTACTTCCAGCCGCACTTCAGGTTTGTAATTTTTAAACTAAGAAGCTTATCCTTCTTTTATGCCATGAAAGTTTTTGCCTAATAGACATGGTGTTTTACTTTTTCATCTGCATATGCATTATTCTTACTCCAGGGAATTGAAGTTAAAGAAATGCTTGCCGGTGCAGCATTGATGGATGAAGCAAATAGGAACTCTGTGGTATGACTATTTCTGTATTATTTTGAAATGAATTTAGTAAATTGCCTTTTGTAGATTGTAGTCTTCTTACATCCTTGGCTATGTTGTGCTTAGGCATGTATATAAGCCTGTGTTTAGCTCATTTTTGTAAACTGTTTTTGAACACCAAGTCACTTTTTGTCTACACATTTCAAGGAACCCACTACCACTACCCACTTATCCATCACTCATTTCTATCTATTTATAATTTAATCGGGAATTGAAGAGGGGAGGATGAATAGACATCAAACGATTGATTTCTATTTCTTTGTTATTGTGGAATTCGTCATCAACCGTTTATAAACACTTCCAAACATACTTTAAATGTATATAACATAAATTCACTGGCATTCGGATGAGTTATTTGATCGGTTAATTTTTCCATATGCCTTTCATCTGCACTCATTTTTAGCCATACATTAAGTACTATGCATATAGAGTCATACATGTTTGTGTATGTATATGTGGTTCATATATAAATGTTATGAAGTGAACCTCTGCCAGAAACGTGGAATAACATAAACATAATCCTTTATAATATGTTGTTCAGGTAAGGAATAATCCAGCAGCGCTGCTAGCCTTATGCTGGTATTGGGCTTCTGATGGAGTAGGATCTAAGGTTTGAATTGTTTAGATTTCATAAATCGTCTTATTATGGAAAATAAGATTTCTTTTTTATGAACAGAAAATATACCTTTACATTTTGGCTGCCTGCAGGATATGGTTGTCCTTCCTTACAAGGACAGCCTATTGTTGTTCAGTCGATATTTACAGCAACTGGTTATGGAATCTCTTGGAAAAGAGTTTGACCTGGATGGTAACAGGGTAAGCTAAGAATTTAATCTAAAAATTCGGTCCATTTTTAGTAATTTTTAAAAACTAAAGCAATTGATGCCACGTGTTTAATTTATTAATTACTTTATAAGGCCATATAGTCCCTGTTTGGTGAGGATTAAATTCAAAATTTTAATTTTAATCAAAGGCAACAGTTAATTTCAACCACATTTTATGGTATCCACATTTCGTAACTTTTATTAAAATCTACTAAAATTATGATTTTATTCCCCACCAAACAGGGCATATGATATATCTTTCATCTCCCAATCTTTGTATGCCAGTTTTCTCTGGTCGTGTTTCAATATGCGTGAATGAGCTAAAGACAATTCCAAAAGACATTTTACTGAATTTTTCCCTCTGCACTCCTTTTCCTTGACTCCTCAAAACCTTAACTATAGCCTCCCTACCCCCAAAATGAAAAAAGAAACAACACTTCTACCCCAAGAACTTCTAAACAAAAATGTTCATGTATGTAAGCAATATTTATATTTATGCTATCTTTGTAATCATGTTGGTTGCTGTGATAAGGCTTCCAAACATGCAAATGTCTTAATTTTGAACTCATTACCTTTTAAATTCAATTTGTGCCTATATGGCCTTATGGAAAGATTACTTTTTTAATTGGTAATAAATCGTGAATGAAATCATTAAGCTACAAGCTTATGCATTTTTCTTTTAATGAACTTTCTTCCATACAACAATGTGATCCTACATTTTCAGAACAAATGCGCTGGTTCATATTCTTATGATTATGGCCAATACCACAACAGGATGGTTGAATCTATATGCCAAAAAACAAAAGAACAAAATTGAAAATTTTATGTTAGCTAAGATTTGAATTTGGAAGCATGAATATTCTTAACCATATACCAAAGACTCCTATTAGGATATGAGATTTAAGCTTTTTTGAAATAATAAAGTTATAAGTGATGTAGAATAAATTGTGAAGGAGCTGCTGAATAGCAGAATCACAGCAAGAAGGAGAAGAAGATGCAGCAGAGAGGGGGGGGGGGGGGGGGGGGAAGGGAGGGGAGGGGGGAAGGGGGAATTGCCATAGCCAATAACTATTCACAATTCTTGGGGGAGGGGGGGGGGGGGGGGAGGGGAGGATAGGAGAGGAAGTGGGAAGAGAGAAGACGGGGGAGTGGAAAATGTGGGAAAATTCATTCTTTGCATTCATCAGCTGCTTTGATTAAATTGCAAAACCATATAAATATGAAAACGTAAACCTCCTAGCGAAGGACTTGGGCCAGCCCATAATACAAGCTGAACTATAAATAGAAAGATAAAAAACAATGCTAAAGACAAAAGGGCTCAGGTTGGCCCATAATACAAACCCAACTAAATAAAACATAAGTAAATAGTCCACAACAAAATAAAATGGCCCAAAACAAGTGATGTCCTCATCAATAAGTGATCTGAAATCAAAATACTTCACTACTTAAATTACTAGGGGTGGTCGTGTCTGTGCTGGGAGATAGTGAGGGAGTGGTGAACAAAGCAAATCCTGATGCGTTTTTTCAGTTTATAAGTTTGTTGCAGGGCCAAAATTTATTTATAGAAATACGCTTTGGTACTGTGCATCTCAGGAAGGTATTGTGGAAAGCTCAAAACTTTTTCTAGCCACGTGCTCTGAAAATTTTATTTCTGCCGAACAGAATTATTCGTGAATAATTGTTTTCGAAAATTCCTGGACTTGGCCTTCTCCAAATATCCATAATTTAGGAACCTATCCTCATTCCTAAATAATTGCTTGAGCAAAGACCAAATTATTAATGCTTCACGCAAACTGCTATACATGTTGTAATATATCATTAGCAATTAGCTGTGATTGATTTATAAACTAACTGATTCATTGTCCACTAATAATTCTCTGCAACTTTCTTGCCTTTGATAGAATTCACGAGGTGATGAGAGTGTTTTAGTGATCAGATGTAATTTTGAAATTTCTTATCTAGGAAACTGAGATGTGATATATTGATTTCATATTTTGCCCATTCTTTGCTTTTTTTGCAGGTGAATCAAGGGCTCACTGTTTATGGAAACAAAGGGAGCACAGATCAACATGCGTAGGTGTTCATTCTAATTTTATGGTTTGTATATGCATGTGTACAGATTTCCACTGGGATAAGCATGAAGATATCAATTTTTACAGGTACATTCAACAGCTAAGAGATGGTGTGCACAACTTTTTCGTGACATTCATTGAAGTTCTACGTGACAGACCACCTGGCCATGATTGGGAGCTTGAGCCAGGGGTCACTTGTGGTGACTACCTGTTTGGATTTCTACAGGTTAATTTCTCGTGTTTTATTTCTACGTTATAAGAGTTTGTGAACTCCATTTGTTTAGTGAATGCATGACATAAACTGCAGGGAATTGTCTATTAGTCTCCTATGATCTCATGATTTTCGGAATTCTTGTTCCATATATGTTACAATGTTGGCACTATTTTCAGATGGTGCTATTTTAAAATCGATCCAAATATATGCAGGGAACAAGATCTGCTCTATATTCCAATGAGCGGGAATCCATTACTGTCACTGTGCAAGAAGTAACACCTAGATCTGTTGGGGCTCTGGTAGCACTCTATGAGCGAGCAGTTGGAATTTATGCCTCACTGGTCAATATTAATGCCTACCATCAACCTGGTAAACTGCTTTCCCTGGCCTTCTTCCGCAGATCTCACACAGAACTAGGAATTAACTGTCATTGTAGCAAAATCAGGCCTTTTCATTTAGGTTACCGAGGGATCTCTCATAATTGTGAATACGGGATACCAAAATGGAATCAGAAAATTTAGTTGATGCATGTGCTTCTCTAGTTGCTTCATCCTGATTTACACTTGCCTGCTAATTCTACAGGTGTGGAAGCTGGCAAGAAAGCAGCAGGAGAAGTTTTAGCTCTTCAGAAGCGTGTTCTTGCGGTACTAAATGAGGCAAGGTATGCTTATGATATTTTATGTGAAGAAAAATCTTAGCTTTACGTTGGACTAATATTTCAATTCAAGGGTCTCAGTTAGCATGGTCACCAATGCACGACATACCTGAATGGGGTTTGTATCTTTCTATACCCTTGGAGTGTGTTAATTGGAAAGTGGGCGAAAATATAGTGTTTTGAGCTATGAAAGAGTCTAGAAATAGAGGGACAAGGGATTATTCTGCCATTGATAAAGGAATAAATTCGTTCAGTTTAAAGTTGTATCTTCAATTTGGATGTTGGCGTTCAATATTTTATTTTCAACTTAACATCATAGAGCCTCATTTCGTACTTCTCCATGCTTTGCATCAGCTACATGCATCCTCTTCTACTTCGCTCTATCAGTGGCCATTTCAATTGTCAAAGCGCAACGGCTAAAATCCTTTCTTGTTATTTTCAGTAGGGGGTCAATATTTGGTTCACCTCTTGAAGGTCTTCAGATTTTCCCTAGCCATCTTAATTGATTCTCCTGCAGTTTTTCTGCATAGGGCATGGACTTGAACCAACCTAAATATGCTTATTCTCACTTCTTATGTTGAACTCAATCCATCTTAACATTCTCCTTCTGACCACATTGAATTTTCTTATTTATTAATTGCGTAATATTCAATATCATAACATGTGTATCTTCTTCAATTACATAGAATTTCATCTTTTCTAAAGATTGATTGCCAATGCTGCAAACCTGCAAACAGGTCAAAGCAAGACAAGAGCTTTCACTGTTTTAATACGTGGTTTATCATCTAAATTGTTCTCTATTTGGAGTTGGAGGAAGTAAATTAGAATTCGTATTGTTATTGAGTTCATTAGAGTGACATTTCCATCTCTATCTGTAATACCAAATTCTTTATATGCTAAGAAGTGCATATAATAATTTTCAAGTCATGAGATTCGCTTGTTTTTTGTTAGCACCAAGCCTATTTCAAGGGGGATTTATGCATTGTGTTAAGTGCAACCTCTTTTTTCTTTTCTTATTGAAAATTAGAATTAATGAACTTATGAATACTTATTAATGCAAAAATTGTGGAGTGCGCATTAGTGGATTGAGACTTCAGCATATCTAGCTAAAGAGTAACTAACATTGTTTTTCAATTTATTTTCTCCCTGTTCAGCTGTAAAGAGCCCGTTGAACCATTAACTCTCGAAGAAATAACTGACCGTTGCCATTCCCCAGACGATGTAAGTACTACCTAAGTACTACCACACAGCTTGGATGAATTTATTGCATGATTTGTAAGATGGAGTAAAAAGCACATTGTTCAATATGATCTAATACTGCAGACTCTAAATGTGCATGGAAATCACTTGAACGCATTTTCGCCGAAATTTATTATAAAACAAAGTTTGGTGAGTGTTTGATTGTGGTTTTTGGTGGCAGATTGAAATGATATACAAGATAATCGCGCACATGGCTGCTAACGATAGAGCTCTTATTGCTGAGGGGAGTTGTGGATCACCCAGGAGCATTAAGGTTTTCTTGGGGGAGTGCAATGTCGACGAAATGTATGCCTAAATTACGATGATTTCTTTCGTTTGAAAACATGTTTATCTTTAGTTCATGAAACAAGAGGTTGCTTCATTTTCTCCACAAATAATTATGCTGAGCTTGTTAACAAAATAATGCCTCACTTCCAATTGACAAGCAATAAGAATTATTTTGCCTGTTCGGTTTTGCATAAGATTATCCTTGTTCACTACTTTATTATTCAGTATTTAAATAATCATATGAACCATGCTGGGTCCCACAGAGGTATTTGTAACTTCTCCTTTTGAGTGAAGAGTATGGACTCAATTGCTTTTTGAATCTATCCTCCTCACTCTTGCAAACTTAATCAAGCATTGAGAATTTCTTGTTTTGATAAAGGAGCGTGCCCGTAAAATTGAAATTGCTAAAAATGAAATAATTTGACAACTTTATGAATCAATGTAATAACAGCCATTTGAGTGCATTTCTTATAGGTTGTACATGCAGCTCTTTACAAAACGAGATTACTACATTTTATAACCAAGTTCAAAGTTTATTTTCTAATTTTTTCGACAAATGAAGATCAGAGTTTGTATTGCATTCCAACTTGTGTTACTGATGATACCATCTCTCCCATACTTGACTTGGAGACGTGAATTGTTTTTTTTCACACTCGTTTAATGCCTAAATAAGCTTAACTATTGAATAAATGAGTGGATTTATATTCACAATTATATAATTATTGCTTTTGTAGATAAAAATCACCGAAGATAAGATAACAAGGCAAAAGAGAGTGAAAAGGGGTCATAAGCATACAAAATTGTGAAGTTGGGACCCATGCACAAGTGCCAAAAGTTGAGGACCTTGGGCTGCAATTTATGGAGGGCTAAATTGATATAAAAGTCGAAATTTGAGGATCAAATTGTATAAGATCAAAGTAGAGAGACCTAACGTGCAATTATTTGGGAACTTGGATGCTAAAAAAAAAAAAAAAAAAAAAACAACATAAGCATACAAAATTGTGAAGTTGGGACCCATGCACAAGTGCCAAAAGTTGAGGACCTTGGGCTGCAATTTATGGAGGGCTAAATTGATATAAAAGTCGAAATTTGAGGATCAAATTGTATAAGATCAAAGTAGAGAGACCTAACGTGCAATTATTTGGGAACTTGGATGCTAAAAAAAAAAAAAAAAAAAACCAATTATTGGTTTTGGACACAGCCACAGCGCCGAGGCGCCACCTTTAAATACTAAAGAAAGCTCGGGGATCGTCCTGCTCAGCTTCTGAAACTTCAGGGACCAACGCTGCAATATCTGAATAGGGTTTATAATTGTAAATAAAAGGGCCACTGGGGGAGTTACTAATTTTCGGCTGGTTCCGTCGTTTGCTTCTTTTTCTTTTTCTTTCATCTTTCATTTTCTTTCTTCTTTTCTCTTCATTTTTCCTTTACTTCTCCTTGATAATTTTTTGGGGCAAAATCTAGGGCATAAGGATAAACAATCAAAGGATTTGGCAAAGCTTTGGATAAATCAGGAGTAAGGAATTTCCATCTTCAAAAATCCAACAAGAAGTGGGTTTTGCTCAATATTTTAAAAACCGGACCAGTCATCGATAAAGAAAAAGGGTCAAGAGTCAAAGGGTCGAATCAAGGTTAAACCGAATAGTGAAAAAGTAAAGATAAATAAATATTTTCAAACATTAAATAAGATTATATAATAATATAATATTGCTAATTAATGTTGGAAGAAATTTTAAATTTTTTATTAATTAAGGAAAAATAGAAAAATAATTAATTAACCTAATGGAATAATTAACTATAAAATATAAATACACATACTAGTGTAATTTGTAATACATAGTAACACAAATGTATTTATTCCACATCGGAATTTCGGAAGTGAAACACCAGAAATTATGCCTATAAATAAGTGGCATGTTGCAGCAGCAAAACTATATAAATAAACGGGCCACCGAAGGAATAATAGCGTATTAGTTTTCATTGGTCCAACTCTTCTTGTGTTTGACAATTATTGGGAAAGTCGTACTGGGGCTTGCCTGAAGTTCAATCGATGCAGTTAAAAGTTTGTGAAAATGGTAAAATCGGGACCGATTCACAGGGTCACGGTTGAACCGACCGATTTTATTTATATTTTACGGGTTTTCCTTTCTCCGGTTAATATAGCATGACTGAATCGGATTTAACTGGTTCCCGATTTTTAGTTGAACCGGTCGGTCTGGTCCGATTTTCAAAATATTGGTTTTGCTATAACTTTGTATTTTCTTTATTATTTTGTCAAACTTGCAATGTATTGTATGAAATATTTTTCTTTTTGCCATTTATATAACATGGGCTAAATATTTGTAGAGGGATTTATAGCATTCACTTAACCTTAGGTAATCCAATGAGTTATTTTCACAAATATTTAATGCGATTGTTTGGTTTTAATTGACATAGAAATATAGTAAGTTAAACCAATCAATTAGGAGAGAGGTAATTAACTAAAATTGAAAAATCATTCTAATATCATAAATGAGTAATTTATTAATTAACTTTCAGTGGTTCTTACCATTCTAGTGATGTCCATGTGTTTTAGTTCTTTTGAGATATACCTTTTCAATTTCTTTATCTAGCCATTCTAGTGATGTACAAGTGTTCTAGTTCTTGTTGAATTACTCCTGTCAAGTTATACATACACGTACTTGACTCCCATTATCTGGGTATGCTTTTCATCTATTCGTAGTTCGAGATGAGTATCTCCAAGTATGATTTCTGATAGCATCATTACATGTGGAAGATGCACGATCATGATGTCATGCTTTTCTAGGTTTGTAGCTCAAAACTCTGGTGATACTCGTGCATAAGCTCCCTACTTCGAATGGACTCCTATTCTTTTGATCATGATGCAAAAGATAATTGAGAAAAAATCATAACTCAGGTTTATAGTTTACACCAATTCAAAAGTGAAGTGTTAAACACTCAAAATTCAGGTATATGTATAATTAATTAAAAATATTTATTAATTAAAGATAATAAATCATAGTTATACAATTAATAGTCACGGATACATAATTTTATGTCACAACTTTTTTATTGGTCACATATTGTAAAATTAATCTGCCACAGATTATTTCTAGGTCACAAATAAAATTTTTTGTAGGTTAGTTTATTTCATTGGTCAGGAAAAAAAGCAACTCACTTTACTATCGATCATAGATTTTCAAATTTTTTGGTTACAAATTATATTTCAGTCACAAGTTATCAAATTTTAAGGTCACAGTCTAATACTTGGTCACATATATCCAAATAATTGGTTCACTGCCAACACCATTGCCACCGCCACTTACGACCGCCCTCACTAACACCAAAACACTACTACCATTGTACTACCACCATCGACACCTCCACTTGTACCTCCAACAAAAATCATCGCCAAATCGACCATCACCACCAGAATCTCTGCTTGCACAACCAACAAAAATCACCTAAAACCTCTAACAACACTAAAACCAACCCCAAACCACCATCACCACCACACATCGATGCCACCACTACCGAAAACCACAATAGCCCCAAACCACCACCACCACCACCACAAGCAACTTCAACACCCCAATGCTGCCATCGCTGAAAATTATATTAACCCCAAACCACTACTTTCACCACCACAAACAACATTCACCACCACCACACCCTAACGTCGCCACTATTGAAAATCGCATTGGAGATAACAGCGACCAAGGTTTTGATACCATGACGCTCACATTTGTGGCAAGCAGCCTCCACCACCACCATACCCCAACTCGCCATTGCTGAAAATCACAGCAACCCCAAACCACCACTACTATCACCATACCCTGACGCTACCTCCATTGAAAACCACAGCAGCCCCAAACTACTACTACGACCACTACACCCCGACACTACCACACTTGCTGATGTGGCGATCGCATTGGAGAGAGTATGAGGGGTCGCCACCTAAGAGAGAATGAGGCGTCACCGTTGGGTGGTGGTGACTGGACACATTGAAGTTATAGAGAGGAGAGAGAAGTGAGAAAAGGAAGATAGACGAAAATGATTAGGGTTTAGGAGTTAAATTTGGATATTTAATTATTATATCAATACCTAATTTTTGCATAATTAAACTTGATCCTTGATTTTTGAATTGTGATATTTAAATCCCCGATATCATGTAATTTCCACAAGATAATTCCTCAGTAGATCCACAAGAACCCTACAACACTAGCAGCAGCTCAAGTGGCCATTAACATTGCAAGTGATTTACAACCTCGAGCAAAAGGTCATAGCTCTTACTTAGTCCTTAAGCTAGCGAGTAGTGCCTCATGCACCACCCTGACATATCTTATGTGGTATCCCATCCATTGCCTTTCCTAGCTCTCTTATTCTTCCTCTGATCAGTAGAGGAACTAGACCCCACATCCTCAAGCACCTTCGTCCTATCTTATCGAGGACAAACAGGCTCATATCTCAGGGTTGTCGTTACTCTGATGTATGAACAGCTTCCTAGATCATTTAGGAGGTGACATTCGAAGCCTTAAGTCGTACCACACATCCTCTATAGTTTACCTCAAAAGCATGCCACTCAGGCCAAATATTCTCGCTTACACTCTCAATAGGTTCAAGCATCATCGTATGAAAGAGATCATCATTACTATGAACCCTATCAATCATCTTAATACCTAAACATACATGACTTCTTTGTATAATGTCCCTGACCCCATCCTTCATAAAGCCTTTCCTCATAGGCTATTGTTTGGTAAAATTTCGCAAGCCTACGGGATCGTTGACAAGTAACATAATTGATGAGTTGAAAGTGTCGTTCCATAGAGAATAACTTAAATTCAAGCTTACTAGTTTCGTATAGAATTCGAATTATGTAAAACAAAAGAGAGATTTTGATTTTATTTTTACTAAATTAATCTAACAAAGCAATAAAAGTTTTTTTTAAAATCAAATTATGGACAATTGTATTGGATCTAGAATCCACCTATTATTATCTATTTCAATTATTGATTCGTAATCTAGTTCTGTTTATGAGTTCTTGACAATCGATAAAACTATGATATATAATTTTCTTCTCCAAGACAAATTAAATCTATCCTAACCACGACCTGAATTTATTTCTAGCCAGAATTCGAATAGTTAGAATACATTAAAGTTTAGATTATCAATATGATTGCACACCTGATAAATG